TTCAGATTATATGAAGAAATGGAAGCACTGGTTACCACAGTAAAAATGAGTCTTACAATACATCCCATTTAAAGGAGCATATAGGCAAAAAGCTAACATCTGAAATAAAATGTTCAGAAGAAGCACTATTAAGTGTGGCCACTGTAATATTACATACATCTAGGGAGTAAATACATTCATTGATGTTAGGCACTAAGCCTAATAATGAAAAGAGGTGGCTTCCACTACCTTGTCTAAATCTGGTTGACTATTTAGGAGATCAGCATATTTCATCTAAATCATTGATTTATTGGTCACCAAAATCAGTAGAATTAGATTTATAAATGTGTAAGAGACTTTTTTCCTTGAATGCAAAATATTTATCAGCTCTTTTTCTTGCCCTGTCCTTCTTTTGTTCCCAAATTTCTCCAGAACCTCTAAGCAGTGGTTCTCAGAGTTGGATCCCTGATTTGGTAGCATTAGCATCACCTGGAAACTTATTAGAAATGGAAATCTTTGGGCCACAATACAGACCTAATGAATCTCTGGGGAAAGGCCTATCAATCTGTATTGTAACATGCCTTTCTGAAGATTCTCTTGTATACCAAATTTGAGGGCCTCTAAGTTAGAGAAACTAGTGTAGGTGGTGACTCTTCTTTTCTCATGTAAATTGTTTCACCTAATGCCTTCTGCAAAATTGCTTCTTAAAAATGATTCTTTCAATTTTGATAGGAAATGTTATTTGCAACCACTGCAGTGGTGTTAGGGGTAATAACATATTGTTTCTAAACTGAAAGCGACTATGAAAACAAAATCTTTTCTCTAATTTTATTCCATGTTTTTTTTTCTGCCTCCCATTATCAAAGTTTTTCTTCCTGTGATATCAACTATAGCGTAGCCTTTAACTATGTTGTGTCAGCTGTATGTGGGGATTATACTTACAGTTAAAATTTTATTTAATATATGAATGAGAGTCAGGCAAATCAAAACTTTTCTTGGAAATGGCAAGAACATCTGAGCCAGTACTTGACAAATGTTGATTGCCAAAGATATTAGAACTAAGGTTTAACAAGGAAGGGATTCTTATACAGATAGGTGTAATTGCTGTTTTTATAAGTAATAATGTCTCTCATGTATAAGGAAAATTTTAAGACTTCTGTGAAATTCCAGAGAGTGAAAGTTGTGAGTACTGATACCTGATTAATACGATGAAGCTATTACAATATCAGGTCTGCCTAAAAACAGACTAGGTTGCCCTGTGAAATAAAGTTTCCTGTAGTTAAGGGTATTTAAGCCACGTCAAATGGTGGGTTGACTGGGTGGTCTAGACTCTTGCTATTCATAGTGTGGTATCATCTGGGAGTTGTTAGAAGGGCAGAATCTCAAGGTTCATCTCAGTCCTAGTAAATCACCATCTACAACTGAAGACTCATGGGGGATCCATATGCACATTATGTTTGACAAATAATATTCCATTTAACATCTAATGAATTTTCATATTTTTATGCATAATTCTTTTAGGATTATGTTGTGATGTAGAATTTGAATAACAGTCTAGAAAAGAACGGAGTAAACACATGACCTTGGCCTCACATTCTAGTGCAAGGTCACTAACTGTGTTAAATACTACCTCCAGAAAGATTCTGTTGCTCAAATATTGTACTTAATTTAAGTGAACTGGTATTTAAGTACTATTTCTTTGTTAACTTTGGACTCTTTCCTTTACACAAAAATAAATTACACTTTTTGGATTTCTTGCACTACGCTAAGAATACCTGTACTAACCCCTAAATTGTACTCAATATTAATCCTTCTTCAATTCCCTCATGCATAGCCTCTTCATTTTACTAAGTCCAGGATTGGTGACTCTCCTTAGCTGGGACGTTCCCTTTATGCTTAGAGTAGGTACTGGTTTTGTGTCCTGCTTTCCCCTTAATCCCTGATGGGTCTGCATGAATGGACAGCAGCATCAGAAAGAAAAGAGAATAGGTAAAGGGGTATAAGCATAGGGGGAACCGGAATGCGATGGAGAGACCAGACTCTGCTCAAAGCTAAAATTTACTCGGGCAGAGGCAGGGAATACCCAACATACAACCCTGATCACCAAAACAATATGAATGGAGAAGAGCTGGAGAGGTAATGAGAAGTGACAGATGCCGCCACACCCTAGATTGGCTCAGGTCCCTACAACCATGACTACCCTGCCCTCGCCCAGTAGGAAGAAAGATGCTTAAAGACAAGACAAGCACAGAAAACCAGGAAGCCAAAAGGTGTCCGAGTCCATTCGTATCCTGAACAGCACGGGCTGAGACAAGCGAAAGCTGTAGAGACCATTGTACGGAGGAAGCCCAGGCAGGGGAGCGTGTACCCCCTTCCCACTTCTGCTCATCCCTGGCCTTTGCCTTTGCAGGGGGCACTGGGACCAGCGAGCGACTCAGCAGCCCGGAGCGGCTTTGGGGGAGACAAGTGTATCCGCGAGCGTGTGTGCGTGAGGAGGAGAGCAAAGACGTGATTACTTCAGAATTTATTTAAGGGCCGGTGGAAACCACTGCAGCAGCTTCCAGGGGAAGCCCTTGTTCCAGAGGAAGAGGAGGTGGCAGCTGCCTAGGAGGAGGAGGGGTGGAGGAGACGGAGGAGGAGTAGGAGCAGCAACCGCACGAGGCGAGTGAGGAAAGAAGATGCTGTAGCATCCTCACCGGCTCCCAGCAGGTTGGTTCTCCCGTCCAACTGATGCAAGCAAAGAGGCTTGCAAACAGGCTGGGAGGAGAAAATGGGTGTGGGTTTGGGGGTTCGGGGGTGGGGGCTGACTCCTTGCCTTTCCAGAGAAGAAGCGCCTCCTTTAAGTGAAATGAGATGCCCGAGCGCGGAAATAACCCGGGGCCAGGAGGAGACCTGTCTTGCTTATTGCATCCCTGGGGACTCCTTCCCCTTTAGCTTTCCAACTCCTGGTGTTGCCTTAAACTCCAGAGGGGCTCCGGGCGGGGTACTGGGTGGAGAACTTCCCTTCCAGATACTTCTCACGCCTTTTCCCAAAGCTCAGGTTTAAAAGGACACCTCCACGTACCTCAGGGGGCCCGGGCGCGGAGGGGGAGCAGTGCCGCTCGGTTAAGTTTCTGAAAGTCAAACCTGGTCCCCTGTCCCTGCTTCCCCGCCCCGGGGGCTCCAGCGGCACGCGGGGAGCTGTGGCTGCTCTGGCAAAGGGGTTGCTGCTGCTTTAAGAGTCGCCTCCCCCTCTCCTCCTTTGACAATGGTCTGAACCGAGCTCTGCTTCCCAAAGCAAAATTTGCAATATGCCATTTTTCCGATGGATGCTTCTCCTTTTGGCTGCTGACGGAGCCGTGGGAAGATGCCGAGTAGCTGCCTCGCCACCGAGCCGGGGCACGTTCCGGGAGGGCGCCGGGGCACGCGGGTGTCCAAGCTGCCTTTCTCCTCCCGTTGCTAGGGAAATGGTCCAGGAGTACTGGATGTGAGCTTCCCTTCTCGTCAAGCCGGAGACTGCGGTTGTCATTGATCAATTGAAGAAGCAGGACCCGAAATTACAGACATTAGGTACAGAAACTATATTTGAGTTACACGGTTTCCTTTCCGCTTTTTTAATTTTTTAAACCACCTCTTCGGCCCCACCCCGCCCCCAGGGAAGAAGAGATTGCAAATTCCTCCTTGTTGATTACTGTTAGGTGCCTTTTGCTTTCCACTTCATCCTCTCCATCTCCTATTTCTTTGCCTCCTGCCTACTTGGCTCTCTCCTGTTGGGCAGGTTGAACAATTTTAGCGTGGAAATTATGAAGTCAACTTCTTCAGGGTGGTGGGGGGTGTGGCTGAGAGATAACTGTCCAGCACTGTAGGGTGAGCTGGCTCTTTGGCCATCTGTAAATGCACTAGGGTAAAGAAAAGTGTAAATTGCTTCCATTGAAGGTTATAATAACATTTCCTGAGGACAGGGTATTTCAAAGAGATAAATAGGAAGAGGAATATTCATGTAATGTAATCAGACAATGGCTAGGATTTCTTTCACCGAATTACTCCTGTGGGTTAGCTGAGGTGGAACTGAGATGGTTAAGACTAAATCTTTTCAGAAGAAACTCAGAATAGAGAATAATTGCATTCTTGCTTCTAGTAGGTCCTAAATCCTAGTAATATGATTAAACAAAGTTATTCATCGGCAGGAAAAAAAAGCCTATTATAGCACTCTCATATCTAAATAGGTACTACTTCTATGGCATATATTGCTAAGGAACACATTGGATCTTAGAAGCCCTTGAGCCATGACTCCAGTGAACATTCAAAACTTTTATTTTGAAATCTGAGAGATTTAAAAGACAGTCAAGGTTATGTGCTAAGAATACGGGAGTTGATTTTACTGGTATAAAATTGTTTGAGCTAAATTTAAGCACTGGGATAAT